AATTCTCACTTAAAGACATGGGGAAATTAATGAAGTTCCTGGGGATTGAAATAAAAAGAGATGAATCTGGTTTAGTGTTCTCGCAAAACAAGTATGCACTGGACATCATTAAAAGGTTTGGATTCAGCAATTTAAACCAGTAACAACTCCTATGATAGCTGGAAAAATCATCTCAAAGGAAGAAGGCAGAGAGTTAAACAACACAACTCTTTTCAGAAGTTCAGTTGGTGCTCTACAATACTTAGTTCACTCTAGGCCAGATTTGTCATTTGCTGTGAACAGACTAAGCCAATTCCTGCAGAAACCAACATACATACATTGGAATCTACTTAAAAGGGTTTTCAGATATATTAAGGGAACATCAGACTATGGACTTAGAATACAGAACAGAGGTGATCTCAATCTGACCGCATTCTGTGATGCTGACTGAGCTGCTTGTCCAGACGATAGGCGATCAATAGCTGTGTACTGTGTATATCTGGGAGGAAATCTGATATCATGGAGTGCCAAGAAGCAACATGTTGTTGCCCGTTCGAGTACAGAAGCTGAATATAGAGCGTTGGCACACGTAACTGCTGAAATCTGCTGGACACAGTCTCTGCTCAGTGAACTTAAAGCTCTTTCTGAGGTAACTCCGATTGTGTGGTGCGACAACTTGGAGCTAAATCATTGGCATTAAATCCAGTGTTTCATGCAAGGACTAAACATATTGAGCTTGATATACACTTTATAAGAGACAAGGTAGCCAATAAGGAACTAGAAATTGAGTATATACCGTCTGCAGACCAAATTGCTGATATATTTACCAAACCTCTGCCTTCATCCAGGTTTCTTTCTATACGAGACAAGATAGGAGTAAGATCTACTCACTCCACCTTGAAGGGGGGAGATAAAATTGAAACAGGAGGACTACATTCGTCAGAACAAAACTTGGAGGATGAACTTAATAAGAATCCAAAGTGTGATAAAATGTAAAGGAATGAAAAACACGCTTTTCCTCTTTGCTGTAATCTCTCTCTCCTTGCTGTTTATCGTGCTAGGCATCATCTTCATAATTGATTCAATTGGCCACTCCATTAATTTAGGGATTTGTTGTATGATTACTGTATAGTGAAAAGCGAGACTGTACAATTCGGTTTTTTAGATATTTTGCGGTGCTACATTCATGAATTGTATGTATAGGTTTTTTTTCTTATTTATAGACTTCAATTCTATAATGATAATTGAGAAATATTGAGTTATAATCCAAATTAATTTGCATCGGTTCTTCTTCTCCTCGTTAAATTCTTTCTTTGCCTTGGGTAATTGCTCTCAATAATTCCCTAACAGTGGTATCAGAGCCCAAGTTGTCTGGCTAGATAAATCGAGGTGGTGGAAAAATCTCATGAGATGGTAGATCCATGGTAACGTAGTGGGTGGAGGCTACGATGGATTATCCCGATGAGTGGTGATT